TTGATTAAAAGTTGTGTCTCTTTCTATTGATACAAGATAAGAATATCTTGAAAAGTCGTTTGATAAACCTTATTATTTTTTGGAACTATAGGTGATTTTAAAATCAAATCTTGATAAAGACATACTCCAACAGGCTTGGCAATAATTCAAAACTTATGTTAACATGAAGTACTCAAGGTTCTTATGATCTTTGTATGTAATAACTAGATTAAAAGCACCTTCTAGATAATGATGCCATTTTTAAAATGAATCCACAATTACAAAAAAGTCTTTGTCATAGATCTTGTACTTAATCTCAACTGCTGAAAATTTCTTGGAATGAAAAGCAACCAAGTGTAGCTCATTATTTGCTCCCAATTGTTATAAAACAATACCAATAGTAAAGTTTGATGCATCTGTTTCCATAAAAAATGCCTCAAAAAATTTAATTCAATGTAAAATTAGTGTAGAAATAAGTGTTTTCTTTAACACTTCAAAAGTTATTTTTGCTTCTTTATTCTACTCAAATTTGTCTTCGTATATCAAACATGTAAAAGTAGCTACAACTTGAAAAAAGTTCTTGATGAAGATTTAATAATAATTGACAAGTTCCAAAAAACATTGCACATCTCTGATTGAATTTAGAATCTTCCAATCCATGATAGTCTAAATTCTCTTAGGATCTATTATTAATCCTTTATTGAAAATGATATATTCTAAGAAATCAACTTGAGTAGCGTGGAATACATACTTTTTTAATTTGGCATATAATCTTGCATCTCTAAGTTTTTGTAATACATGACAAATATAAAGTTCATATTCTTTTAAATTTGTAGAGCAAATTAGAATGTTATCTAAATAATAGACAATAAAATCATTAAAAAACTCACAAAAGATATTATTCATGAAAAATTGAAGCAGTTAGTACATTCATGAGTCTAAAAGGCATGACATTATATTCAAAATGTTCATACCTAGTTTAGAAAGCAATCTTCTACCTATCTATTTTTTTGATGTAAATCAGATTATATATTCTTCAAAGGTCTATTTTTGGATAGATCTTTGCTTAATTTATTTGGTTAAAAAATTATGAAATTAAAGATAGGAGATATCTATTTTTGATGGAAATCTTGTTGTGTCCTTGATAATCTATACACATCCATAGAAATCAATTTTTTTTCTTTACAAATAAGATAGAAGCTTCTATTAAAAATTTTGAATAGTGTATGAAGTTCTTAGCTAAGTTCTCATCAATATACTCTTTTAGTGCAGCCAACTCATTTTGTGATAAACTATAGATTGATCCAAATGGTGGTTAAGCTCTTTCTTATAGATCAATTGAACAATCATAAGATTGATACTTTAGAAGAATATTTGCATTCTTTTTTTCAAAAATATCTTTAAAATCTTCATATTGACTAAGAATATTACTTGACGTCTTTCCACCATCAAAAATATATGTAGCATATATATCAAAAGATGATCCTTCTTTTGTCACATACATAAAAGCTCTTACATCTATCAATAAGGATTTTGATATACTAGGCTTATCTATTTTTACTTCACTATCAAAATTTTGGATCAAACAAGAAGAAAAGTTAAGATTATAAGAAATCCAATTTATTTAAAAGTTATATTTTTTTAATCACAATAATCTTAAAATAACCAAATTAGAAGAAGATTTTATCATATTAAATATTACTATACTATTACAATCTTTAATTTTTACATCTAAAGGAACAATTTCATGAATAATATCTCCAAAAGATAATAAATAGCCATCTATGACTTCTACATGTATAGGTTTAGTTTTCTTGACTAAAGATATTTCTTGTTTCTTCACAAAGTCTTTGTTTATAAAACAAGCTCAGGCTCTTGAATCTAATAATGTAAAGACTTTGAAATTTTTAGGTCCTAAACACACATCTATTATAAAATAAGGTAAAAAATCTAAGGAGAGAATAAGATCTTTACTAGGTATTGTACATAATTCCAATCACACTGCTTCTATTGTAGTTAGAAAAACTTGTTTTTTGACACATTGTCTTTTTTAGCAATTGTATCCATTTTTTCATTATATTGCTTCTTTAGACAATGTTGAATAGTGTGCTTAGCTTCTCTACAATATAAAAACAAACCCTCTTTATAATGTCAAATCTTTTGTTGCTCAGTGAGGAATTTAAAATATACCATATCAATTTGAATTGGTTTCAATCTTGATAAATAAGTTTTTAAAAACTTAGAAGCTACCATCATTACTTGGCTTATTCTTCTCCAACCAAGTCTTTATTTTTGATGCCTTTCAAATAATCAATTATTGCATGCAACGGCTAAGTAATAAAATGTTCTAAAGATTTTACTTTTGGCATTCTCAATAACAAATCTTTGACGTTATCTTTCAACCAATATTGAAATTGATTCATGAGAGCTTTGTCATTCTAGTCTATGTTGTAAGTAAGGTTTTGAATTCAATAACATATATGATAGCTGATTGTAAACCTTGTTGTAAAGATAAAAGCTTAATATCATAGACATATATACTTATTTTAATATTTACCTATTTGATTAAATAAAAATAGATAAAAGTAAATTTATTTTATAATATTTTATAAAAAAGCTTCTTAGAAACTTCATAGATACTACTTTTACTTTATGTATATTTGTAGTTGATTGATAGATTAAAAACTTAGTCAATAAGTTAACCATGTATTGGTAGCTTACAAAATAAGCTAATTATATGGCACACATATAGAAAACTTGCCTTGTAAATTAAGATATATGTTTTGTAAATTTAACATGTTTTAGAGGTACTATATGACATCGCCACATAGTTCCTAGTTAAGAATAAATATGGAGGCAAGAGTGAAGCCTTCTTCACTCTTTTCAATGCCTTTTTAGTCGTTAATCTTATTTTAAGACTTTTTATTCTTCTAGTTTTTGGCAATAGCTATTCTAGTTTAATACTATATCATCTTTGAGTGATTTTTTAGTCTTTTTGAGTAACTTATGAATGCATTGACATTTTAATTCTTTGAGATTTATGTCCTTGATATTTAATCTCTACTATTCTTTTTCAATCACTTTTTTCAAATGTATCCGTAAACACTTCTAGGAATGAATTCAAATTATAAAAGAGTCGTGAATTCTTTTCTATTAACGATGCAAACCAAAAGAGAGAACTTGTACATAGAAGTGTGCCTATAAAGTCAACTTGAGTAAATCCATTAGTGTATTGTAATAGATGCAACCTTAGATAGAGCTTGACTTATTGCAAAAATCCTCAAAATTTTGATCTTGTTCTCTAAGACTTATTAAGCATATTAATTAATATCTCTATCATACTTGTAGAAGAAAAACTTCATATATTTGGTTGTAATATCAATTTATATGCTTCCTTCAAGTATACAACTTCTTGATGTAGACCCTAAACTTCTTCCATAGGCGTAGGATTAATATTTTTGTGGTTGGCATTGGTGATGCATAAAATTTCTTTTCTAAGAGTATTGAAAAGTTCATGAAGATCCCAATAATTGCAAATCTGTTCTTGCTTCCACTAAGTGTAGCATCTATGATTTTTCCTTTGATTTCAAACAACTTAACAAATCTACAAGTCAAATTAGAAGAAGATAATTTACAATCTCTAATATCAAATGAATTTTTTTGCAAAGAGGGATAATTAGCTATCTTTAAGAAAAAAATCAATGTTAAATAATTAAATAATTTATTTAAAGATGGATAATCTAGAATCTTTAAAATATAATAATAGAAGTGGGATAATTCACTCACTTCTAAAAGAAGATAAGAACAATAAGTTAGCACTCTTGTCAAATTAAAAAGGACATGAATCTCAAAGAAAGAAATCCTCAATACATTCTTATGTCACTCAAAAAGACTAAAAAATCACTCAAAGATGATATAGTATTAAATTAGAATAGCTATTGCCAAGGATTAGAAGAATAAAAAGTCTTGAAACAAGACTAAGGACTAAAAAGGCATTGAAAAGAGTGAAGAAGGCTTCACTCTTACCTCCATATTTATTCTTAACTAAGAACAATGTGGCGATGTCCTATAAGACCTCAAAAAGATATTGACTTTGTAAAACATGTATTTTAATTTGTAAGGTAAGTTTTCTATATGTATGCCATATAGTTAGCTTGTTTTTCAAGCTATCAATACATGATTAACTTGTTGACCAAGTTTCTAACCTACTAATCTACTACAAAGACATGCAAAGTGAAAGCTTTTAAGAAGCTTCTAAAAAGCTTCACTAGAAAATATTATGAAATAAATTTATTTTTACTTACTTCTATTTAATTATATAGGTAAATATTAGAGTAAGTATGTATGTCCATGACACTCTAATTTGTAATCATAAACATTGAATTTGAAAACTTTCATCTTCTAAGAATTTACAAATAGGAACCATTGTCAATATTCTAAAATTGATCATTCTTGTTGCAAGAATTTCTAGGAAAACATATAAAAAGGTGTTTCAATTGATTGATAAAAAATGCTATAAAAACAATTGTTATGTCATTAAATAGAAATGTTAAAAATTAAAAATTAAAAATTAAAAAATCTAAATATGAAAAAAATATTGAATACAAATTAACCATTTTATTGAATAGATTAATACCTATTAATATAAAAATTAAGAAATGATTATATTAGTAAGAAAAATAATGAAAGGTTAATACATGATAATCAAAACTTTATAGATAGATTCTTTTAATGCAACAAACATTGGATTTTTATTTTTATTTTTTTAAAAAAACAAACAATCAAATAAAACATATTGCATTATATATATATATATATATATATATATATTTCATAGAATACAGATGATTGAATCTATCTCTCTCTCTCTATATATATAAATATATATACAACTTTGTTTACTGCTCACTCCTTTCATACTATGAACTTAAGGAATACCACTCTTTCTCACAAACTCTCAAATTCTAACTTCAAAAGCAATATCATATCACACTTTCTGGAGTACAACCATTTCTCTTGCATCTACCAAGACTATGTGCTACCCACTCTGCAAAGAAAAGTGTGGTATGGTTGTGGAAAATACACTAGAATAGGCATACTCAGGGTTAGGGATTATGCGAGAGTCATCACGTAGGCAGCCTTCTTGTTCATGAAATGCAAACAGCATCACATAAGATCTTCAGATCTTCAGCCTTCCTTCTTCTTCACCACCTGCAGTGACTTTGAGTATCCCAGACTTACTATGTTGCACTTTTTTCATGTCTAAGTGAAGGCATGTATGTCTCTTTAGAGCTTCTAGTTTCATTGTGTGAGTCTGCTGTCCTCCCTGACTGTTGGGTGCTGCATATGGTGGCTGCTCAGATCACAACATACTTGTTGTGCATTTTGTTTTTCAGGGTCGCAGTCTTACTTTTCACCACTGGATCATCTCTTGGTTGCAAGAGATTCTTGCTTTCTGACATTGTTTCCATCGTCAGTTGGGTATGTAAAAAGTGTGTGATGCATGGATTGTCGAGTAAGTTTTATGGGTCGTGGGTGTTACTGAAGTGGAGCCTCCTCTGAAGTGGAAACAGAACAAGCGAGGGTGGGCAGATCTTGTATTTCAATTTTGCAATTGCAAGGTTTGGTTTCGAGGAGAAAGTTGCACGGTGGTGAAGATGGTGAGTTCTCCACACTGAGATGAAGGGTCATCTGAGAGTGCTGTGAGATTAGGTCAAAACATGGACAAACCATGGGATCGCCAAGCTGGGAGCGCCAGGGGTATCACTATTGTAGGTGCTTGATTGGCACCAGTAGATCCATGTACCTCGAGAGAGTTAGTTGTCGTGGACGTGACACAATGTGCGACATTGTGGGATTTGAAAGGCTAACTACTATACGTTATTTAATTCTACTGGCGCCGGCCGCTCTTGTAACTTCCTATCAGTGATGCTTGTTGGACAATAAAAGCGCTGAAATGATGTGGGAGGATGAGAGGAGCTGAACTGGTGCAGTGTTCAAACTGCAGACAGAAAGGTTCTTCGTCAAGACGAGTGATAAAAGATAGAAGTGCAAGTTGGAGAATGAGGCTGTACCTTATAATTGGATCAGTAAATTTAGGAATCGTGTTTTGACAAATTCAGAATAGCTATTTTTGCTCATGATCTGACCGAGTCTGACCAAGATTTCCCTGCTGATAATGCTACCACGTAAATTTCGAGTGCACTATGCGTGAATGTTATTTTTAAATTCTTCGCTAACGACCATCAAAATCCTGCCGACAAAATCTTCTGGGAGCGCACTTCCTTCTCTGGCAACTTCAGAAGGCACTTGAAGTAAGACAGCCAGAAATTGTGGCAATTCGTTCTTGAACAGGATGAATACGCCTCAGTGGCCTGGAAAATTACTCAATCCTCAAAAATCTCCAATGACACATAACAATTTAGGACCATTAGTTCATGGACATACTTCAGAGCTCTAGAGTCATGTTTGAGGATGAGCTGTGAAGCTTATCAATCAAGATCGTGTGCGTGCAGACTTTCAGCAGTTCATGCGATAGTGGGCTTATTTCTAACACTGATGCATGGCGAGACCTCCAGGTAGATTAAATCTTCAACTTCACCATTTTCATGAACATAAACTTTAGGCTTGGCCAAATCAGACAGTGATGCTACAACTAGAACAGTTCGTAAGTCCAAATTGGGCCATAATCCTACTTCTTGAGCTGCTAAACTGCAAGTATTGTTTTGTTCATGCTAAGCGAAGCTTTTCGGTAACGGCAGGATCATGTCGACGAGATATTCGGTATGCACTTGAAAGATTTGATGCAAGACAGGGAAAGATGTAAAAGTATGATAAAGTAAATTAAATATAACCCATCTCATATATGTTGATGAAATCATATTAATCAAGCTGCACCGTATATTTCCAATGTAATGTGAAGTCGGAAGGTGTTGCGTTCAGACATTGAGCCGCGCTTTCGGTAGTGGTGCTGTTCCTTCGTCACCTTTCAGATGCATAATGAATAGAACTTTATTCCTCTCATCCTAAATGATCTTTGTTGCCTTACAGTCAGTTTTCAATCCTCAGGTAACGTTACCACCTTCTTCCTTTCAAAGTACAGAGCACTCTGACTGACTTAAGAAGGTATTGACATTGTCAAGTTGTCATGTTTTGGATACAGAGAATTCAATGGAATCGTGCTTGACTACTCTAGGCAGCGTGCAACACAGTGCACTTTCCAAAAGCTTTTGGCTCTTGCCAAGGTTAGGTCTTTTCAGTAGGGCACTAATATGCTCATGTCAGAGCTGTTGCTGCCTTCATTTTAGGGGTGAATGAACCCCCGTTAGTTTGTAACTTGTGTAAAATTTTGAAAATCATTCTTGAAGTAATTTTACCTCTTCGTGATATCTGTCCCGTATCAGGAAGCAAATGTGAAGGAAAAAATTGAGGCCATGTTCTCTGGTGTTCACGTAAGCCTCTTATTGCACTTAATAATCGTGGTCCTGACGTATAGTAGTGGTTGCTGTTGCATCAACAATCAAATTGTAGGGTTTAATGTACGAGCTGTCGCGGTGTTCTCATCTCAGGAGCAGAGATAAATGCCATGAGTGTGAAGTTTGCAAGAAGCGTCATCATATTTTAAATACATCTAGTCCTTAACGTAATGATAGATCAATAAGACCGAGAATCGCCCAGTATTACACATTGCGTTACGAGCGCCGCGAGGTGTGGAAATCATGTGTGATGGAAAGGATGTGATGCGAGAGGTTTGGGAGGTGCTTGATAAGATCAGGTCCTTCTCAGATCAAGTCCGAACGGGGACCTGGGTAAACCTTTTGTGATTATTTAAAATTCGTGCTCAAAACAATTATTTTGTGATTATACAACCTAAACTAAAGCTAACCTTTTCGGATTATATTTTTCATAGTCGTTCCGTATTCCAGCAACTTAGAGTATAACTGGTGAAGTTTATGGTCTCAAACCAAGTCTTCTAATTTACACACTGAATGAGATGATTCTTCTGGTTAAAATTTGCAGCTGTGAATTTTGATTCGGTAGTAATCATATTTTGTGTAATTGCTTTCCTGTGCAATGTTAGGTTGGTGAGACAGGGAAGGTTTTGACAGATGTGGTTGCTATCGGCATTGGTGGGAGTTATCTTGGGCCTCTTTTTGCCTACACTGCCCTGCAAACAGGTAAATCTATCGTCTCAATGTCATTGTCCTTACGATATTTTTTAGTTCCGGCTTAACTGACTTATTAATGAAAGAAGGCTCTTGCTGGAAGTAATGGGTTGACAGATTCTATAACTATTCATGACTTTTACTCCTTATGTCGATATGGATTTTGTTGACAGATCCTGAGGCTGCCAAATTAGCTAAGGGCCGCAGACTTCGCTTGTACGTTACACTCTCTTGTCAACAAAAGATTTTAGAATGTCATGAAAATCAGATTTTTTTTTTCTTCTTATCCATCCTGCCGCTAACTAGCATTCTACAAATTCGCTCTACAGCTTAGCCAATGTGGATCCCGTCGATGTTGCAATCGCCATCAATGGCTTAAACCCAGAGACTACTCTCGGTGTGCAATTTCTTGGCTACCCCTTGGTTCCAGTATTATGTGATGCAATCAAACAAAGAGTATGGCGTGGATTAGCTTGAAAAGAACTACTATCATGTAGAGTGTACCTCGAAGTATCCTAAACATGCATAAATAAGCTCCCTTTTGTTGTTCCATTCGAATATGGGATCAATCATACAAACCTGAACATATAATCAGGTGGATGTGGATACTCGTGGTTTGAATGAAGGTCGTGTTACAGCTTTTAATAGGGCTTTGCTTGACAGCAAATTGATACCTTTCTTGGATGTGGCAGTTGTTATCGTGTCTAAAACTTTCACAACCGGTGAGACCATACTGAACTCCAAGACTATGAGATCTTGGCTCATAGCGTCTCTAGGGCAAGCTGTCTCTTCTTTACACTTTCGTGTCCCTGTTTGTATCTTTCAAGAAGAATTCAATTACTAGAAGCATGTTATCAACCTCAAGCATCATAAACTCCCCGTGATACATGCCTGTTTCTTGCAGTGACTCTGGATACAATTCCAGTTCTATGTTATTTATCTTTACAAGCAATAAGACACGCCTAATAGCAGTGATTTTTGTTATTGTTCCTCAGACCAAGTTGTGTTGCCAAGCACATGGTAGCTGTCAGTACTAATTTGAAGGTGGGTAACTTTGATATTGCTATTCAACCAAGAAGAAAATATTTGTCTTAAAAGCTCACCATTCCGAACTGCTGTATGCCATTTTGCAAATTTGTCAGTTTCATATGGTGAATATCGTTGATTTCTTCTGGCTACATGTGCATTTCTAAAAGTACAGAGAGGTTCCTATTTACTGAGCTTGAAGGAAAAGCAGCGTGTTAAAAAAGTTCTGAGATATTTATATATAATGTCTGCAGCTCGTGAAGGAATTCGGGTTGAATCCCGACAATTCATTTGGGTTTTGGGATTGGGTTGGTGGACGCTTTAGTGGTATGTGTTGATTTGACCATCTTTCACATCTTGTTGGGCACTGCATCTTCCCGCAGAAGCTGTTGACCAGCTCCCACGGATCTTAACTGTTGAAATCCTCTCAAGTTTCTTTGAACTACATATTTTGAAATGTCGAAGTGTATTTAAATTTCGAATTGATGAGCATATGCTTTATGCGATTACAATCCGCTGACTTGATTTACTTTGGCAGTCTGCAGTGCTGTTGGTATATTGCCGTTGGCACTTCAGTATGGATTCGCCAAAGTCCAGGAGTGCGAATACGAACCTCCCTTACCATCAGTGACTTTATTTCTCGCGTTTTAGGTTTCATTTCGGTTGCATGCGAAATAAAAATGAAATACGTTTCTAAATTACTGTGAGAAACCTTCATGTATGATAATCTGTTGGTAATGAGCTAAGTAGGTCAGATGTGACCACCTCACAAGTAAATGATTCTTTATTCTCTGATGGTTCAGATTTTTGGAAGGAGCGTGGAGTGTTGATTGCCACTTTAAGACTGCTCCCTTGGAGGATAACTTTCCAGTATGCTCTCAGAAATGCATACTTGTTTTTTGATTCTTTTCATTTAAAACTATACTGAACTTCGTGAAATGATCACGATTTATAAGTTGGGTGCACCCATTTGACATTTTCACGTTATGTGCAGGTCTTGCTGGGATTGATCAGTGTTTGGAACGTCTCCTTCTTGCGCTGCCCTGCACGGGTGAGTCGTGATTGTAATTTCGCCTTGTGCGACTACTCGTATCTTATGTTACCTGCTTCCATCAACCAGAAGATATCAAATTGTCTGTCTCCAGAATACTTCCGGTAGAGTCGATCTCTATGCAGGACATGGTTATGCCCAGTAAGGCGCAAATGCTTGATGTAGACTGGCAAAATGACCTCGACTTGCGTTGTTGCAGGCTATATTGCCCTATTCTCAGGCACTTCAAAAGCTGGCCCCACACATTCAGCAGGTTACGAATGCTCCTATCCCGCAACGAAACTAGTTTAATGACTTCACACTAATGTTTTAAATAAGGATCAAAACAAATTGATCAGCCCGGTCGATTGCTTAGATTTGCGAAGAGAAAAATAACTTGGAAAGTAATGCTTTGGCTTGACTTCCTCAGCTTAGCATGGAGAGCAATGGGAAAGCTGTGGCCATGGATGGAACACCATTGAATTATCATGCTGGAGAGATCGATTTTGGTGAGCCAGGCACGAACGGTCAACACAGCTTCTACCAGCTCATCCATCAGGTCTTCGTCCCCTCATCTGAAGAGCTCTGATCTGATGTCCACTCTTCTCTGCATAATGTTATTAGTCTTGATGGGGCATTTGACTATGTTTTCATTGTATATCATGTACAGGGACGATTAATTCCTTGTGATTTCATTGGAGTCATCAAGAGCCAGCAAGCAGTGAACTTGCAAGGTAGGACATACTGCTCATCATCTTTTGATTCAGTTCCTACGGTACCGTCAAGTCGGGTACATGTTTCTTGATGTACTCTTTTACTCAAGTTAAATAAACTTCTTGCATTCGGAGCAGGCGAATTAGTCTCTAACCACGACGAACTCATGTGCAACTTTTTTGCTCAACCAGACGCGCTTGCGTATGGGAAGGTTAGCACTGAGAAGCATCTTTCTTTGTCAATGTTTCCCTCCGCAGTTGTAACTAAGTTACCTAATGTTGGCATGCGGTGGCTACAGTGCTTGCGAAGTCGTTGTTGAGATGATTTTTTAGATACCTTTATCTAAAAGGAATTGGATAACCAAGATTTTGGGGATGTACAGACACGTGTTGAAGCATGTAAAGAGGGCATTCCTGAGGAATTAGTCCCTCATAAGGTTAGTCCTGATGTGATGTCCTCAGCAACTACGAGACTGAAAATGAAGCTGCATCAGTACTGTAAATACATACTACTAAGGCTTTTTGTGAATCTTTATGTATGAATAAATCAAGATACTTGATTTTCAGCTTTCTGAAGCTAGATACGCTCTGAATTGCATATTCTTGTCGCAGATGTTCACTGGAAACCGCCCTTCTCTCAGCATCCTCTTGCCTACTTTGGATGCGTACACTGCAGGCCAGGCTAGTTAACATTCCCCTATCTTTTGTCGTAACAATGAATATGTACATACGTAATTTTCATGGGAGGCTACAATCGTAAAGCAAGATATTGCGTGTGCCTCCATTTACAATGATCTTATGTGGTAGTTCCAGTTCCATCGCTTTCATTGATGTCAAACTTTCCTTGAGGTTGCAGTTACTAGCACTCTATGAGCACAGGATTGCAGTTCAAGGCTTTGTTTGGGGTATCAACTCCTTCGACCAGTGGGGAGTAGAGCTGGGAAAGGTAAATGCTTTGTTCTTACTGCTTGGTAAATTTGAATAAGATTGGTGACTAAACCAAGGGAATCAACTGTTTCGCAGAAATTCGCCTAGCTTGATAATGGATCACCCTCCCTAGTTCAATATCGGAGTGTGCAAAACCATGCACACTTCTTATCACCAATTATGAGTTGCTCATCAACATGGTAGAATGCTTGTCAAAACTGGAAATATCGACTCTTGTTTCCTGAAAAAGTCTTGATTTTCTTTACTCTCTCTGAACATGAAGGATGTTATTTATTCCTACATCTGGCAGACACGAGTTTTTCGATAGCTTATGCGATGTAGTAAGAGGAATTATTATTCTTTTAAAAGACTGGCAAGATACAGAATCTTTACATTTTTATGATAAGAAGCTGCATGTGAATTCAGACTGAGTCTGGTTGTGGTGCTCTTGTCGGCCTGAGTTTCCTAATATGTAGCTATGGATGAGGGGGTAACAGAGCCTAGCAACAAAAGTGCGTCAAACAATGCACAATTTCCGGACGAAGGGAGAGAGTGTGTGTGACTACAACTACAGCACCACTTTCATGCTTAACCGCTTCCTTCAGGTATATGGTCTAAGCTGTCTTCAAAATCTTCTCACCGTGCCGTCAAGCTCTAGAACTGGCTGGTGGCTAATTGCTACAAACCCAATGTAAACGTCAGTGGTTGGCTTGTAGCAATTAGATAGCTAATCTGGACATGTGTTTTTTTTTGAAGTCTGGTCATTTTACTCGGTAATGTTCCAATACGAAGTGCTCGTATTGACACATGCCGGGGATGCCACACATTCTATAAACGACTTGTGCTGCATTTTGGATTCATTGTTCTGGGATGTGGATCTTGCAGGGTAAGGAAAAGCTTCTGCACAGCGCAACTTGGCTCCTTGTTGAGGGATTCTCTTCCTTAAGAACTAAGTGCTGCACAAGTATACAACTGTTAGGGGCACTCATGCAGGTTTCCAGATGCGCAACAATGCATTTATGTGGGTAGGGGACCTGGGTTTTGTCATTCACCCAGTGCAGGGTGATGCATTTTGGTCCAGTGTTTATGGATTAAAACGAAAATTAAATGCCAAACAGACCTCATCTATTTAAATATGTTGCTGTGAAGCACGTTGCGAGCAATGCGGAATCAACAATGAGCCAAAGGCTCCACACAACGAGTTTTGGAAAGACGAATTCGGCAGCGAGTAAGAGCGAAGTCATCGTGTAGGTGGTCCCTTGGGACAAAAGAAGTAAAGACAGGTATACCACCTCCATCTCTTCCATGATACATCGACTGCTCCGATTCAATTTCCAATAGCCCTGGTTGTGAACTTCCGTTATCATTATTAATAGATCCACAAAATCTGGCCAACCAAATGCCACAATCTGACTTTTCCAGTGATGGACGCGCAAAGATGAGATTCAGAGCTCTGAGCAGCAATCAAATTTTATGTTCATGCCAAATTTATCTCAAAAATCCTTTGGGCCGAAGGTTTAGAGACACTGTTCGAGGAACCAGATGGGATAATTGTCACTGCCGATTGGACAGTTGAGGTGCTTGTTTTCTTTGTTCAGGTCCACACCACAATGTATATCACTAATGTCAACTGATATGGAGAAAACGTTATCCCTATCCACATGGTAGCTGTTATACTCATCGTTCCCTACTTTACGTGGCTTACTGAACATGTACTTAACTCTGTTCATCTATAATGTTTTCGCAAAACCTCAATATTAGAAGCCACATTTTTACAATTACCTACAATTCACATACTAAAAGACAACTTTTAAGGTGTCTAAAAAATTAAGACTGTTAGAGCACATCTAATTAAACAACTAATTAAAGAACTACTGATCAGGTTGGAGCAGCTATCGTAGAATAGGTTAAAAGTTTAGGGTTTACATCCTTCGTCAGCAATTTAGAGAAGAAAGAGTTTGTCACTGCCTGAGTAAGAAACTAAACTACACAAGATTTCTTAGTCACAGTAATCACACACAGCCACACTATTTTTCAAAAGAAGCTAAAGCTTAATCAATTTAAACAATCAAAACAAATTTCAGCCTTCTCTTTGCACAGGACGATGCGCAATGAGAGAGTCTTCCACAACTGCCAAACACACATCCACTATAGGTCGTAATGTAACAGAGGAACTCTTCATACGACAATGGTCGTATCATACAGTTTCACGTTTGTGAAAATTCGCTAGCACTCTGCCAGCAGATCAATCAGGAGTATGTTGCTTACACTTGTTAGGCCCTGTTCCAAAATGCCCTGCACCCTTTCGTACTACGTTATTGCAAAGACCACAGTAATGACATTGACAAGCCCAGCAGAAAATATGATTGTTCCCTCCGGCCTTGTAATTGACCTGCTTGCAATTAGGGCAAGGTCGAGCAGCAGCCATCCCTGCAGCACCTCGAGGATTACGAGGAACTAGATCTTGCTCTTGCAGCTGCTGTAGCTGTAAATTGAATTGCAGTTCCCAGCGGTTTAGTTCTAGTTGGTCCAGAAGTATACAAGAGCCTCCCCGAAAATGGTCATAGCCAGCAATTTTTTTACCACATTGGAAGCAGAAGTAACCCCCACAATTGGTGCAAATCATCTTGTTGCAGCCCTCTGACTTCTGCACTGCCATTCTACAAGTTGGACACTGCTTAGCTTCCCTTTTAATATAATCCATGTCCAAGCATTCATTTATCAACTCCTTTTCCTTCTTGATCGCTTCTTCTCCCATTTCCCTTCCTTGTCGCCGGCTCTGAAGGATTCGAAGTTTCGCCTCCGGAGACATACAGGTTTGACCAGGATGCCAGTTCGATAGACACAAACTACAAAAGCTGAAACGGCACTGGCTGCACTGCACAAGATGGTCCGGATCCTCGAGAGAGGCGGTTTTACACTTTGGACAGTACACCACATCTGCCATTGCATCTAATGCTCTCTGCAACGAGAGGTTATCCCATCTCTCGAAAGCCTCCTCATCTAGAAGCTGCTTCAGGTAAGTAGGAGGAATTTGCTCCTTACAAGATGTGTCTGGACAATTCAAATTCAAAACACTCCCTTCTTTCACGTGCATGTTGCAGTACTGCTTCAAACAGGTCGTGCAAAAATAGTGCTGACATGGTAGTTTTGTGAAGCTATAACCAGAATACTCGGAGAAACAGATAAGGCAAGTATGCACGGATTCTTGGAACACTTTGTGCTTGGCGCTTTCCTCATACTGTAGTAAAGAATAAACGTCTGCATTAGACGAATTCAATCTTGAAACAGCACGCCAATCAAGTCCCTCTCCGCTCTTCCCGTTTCTCTCCTCAAAATCGTTTCCTAATTCAATCCCTTCACTCATACCCAATTCTGATAGTGCCTGTGATCGTAACCATTCTGACCACATGTAAACCACCACTTCCGGAGATGTTTCCTCCCAGATCTTGTCAAGGCACGTGCACAAGGTTGACAGCTTCTTTTTGGTTAACCATGAGCAAGTGATTTCATATAGAGGCGCCGAATGGGATGGATAATTAGGAGGAAAGACACACAGCAAGGTCATTGGAGGAAGGGCTTGAACGGTAAATGAATGGTCGTTGCCACTTACACTAGCTGAAGCTCCATCGCACCCAAGTGATTTAGGTGCGTCTGCAAAAATTTTAATCCCCTCTGGAATATCTGGATGCACAAGAATCATGAAGGCAATAGGTCTATCATCACCTTCGATAATGGGAAGATAATCAGATCCATATATCGACTGCAAAACCATTACCTCGTCGTCTTGTTGTTGTTTGTTGTTTTCCGTTTCAGACAAAGACAATGGATGTTCTTCAATACATGCTGCATACTTGAGTAACCTTTTCACTCCTACCTCCTCCACCTCCTCCCTGAACCCTAGATCATTATCGTGCACAGTTCCCTTTCCGGAATCCGCATCGTTTCTCTGACTGCTGATCGATTCTGGTGTGCTACTATCACACGGTTGAATGTCTTGTCGAGCCTCACACATCTCTCCATCGCCAGTTTGTCGAAGGTTTATATCCACCGCTTCATCATCGCCCTGCTCACGCGTTGGAGTATATACATATTCAACCTTATCTCGATAACCTTGCCTACCAGCAACACCTCTCCGATACCGTGGAACACCCCGCGATCTGCCCTCTGCTTTCCAAACCATCCTTTCTTCCGATCCTCAGGAAACACTTAATCCAAAACCTTTGTGGACCTTCTAAGCAACAACACACCACACACACTGGAAACTCACGACTACGACCCTGAAGACCACAATTGCCGCTTGGGTAAAGCGAAATCTAGGGGAATTGAGAGATCATTCACCAGCTACAATGGCTTTCGCTAGGATTCCATAGCTTTCCCAATAGATCCCCTCAGCAATTACAAAGCACAACTAGCAATCACCACCGCCTTATTTGCGCCGACGTTCACCGTGCAGGGCACGACAGTCACCCTCTTCCTCCTCGGCGAACGTAGCGTGGCCAACGGGAACCAATTTTCGTGGAAACGACACATCACATCCAGTTTCATCCCCCCCCCCCCCCCTTTAACCAACTTTTCACATGTAGCACTCCCTCCTCCTCAATCAATGGAACACAACGCGACGCGACGGAGCCGAGCCCACCCAGAGCTTGGCGGTGTGCTGTGTATGAATGAACGTCTCTGTTCAACATTGTACATATATGTTTATTTTGTTATTATTGGTCTTTGGTTTACATGTTTTTTTATATGGAATGTCTTGTTGGAATCAATTAGTTTAAAATAGAAAAAATCCATATTATTTTTTATTCTATGGTTTTAAAGTATCCATTTATGCAACAAAATAGTAATAGAATTGTTGTTTTTATTTTAGTTTGGTTGTCTAAAGAGTACACTTTATATATGTATTTGTATTCTATCTATTTGTTTTATTTAGTAAATCCTTTGCACGAGATAATTATTAATAAGTGATATTTTTAACATAATTGTTTAATGAATGCACAATTCAAAAATAAAAAATATCACGCAAAGTCTAGTAAATTATAAGAAGATAACACTACATGTACTATGAAGATTATAGATCATTCAAATTTAAAGTTGTTTATATTTTTTTTTACTATATATTTAGAACATATATATAAATTTTTTAAGATAACAATTTAATCTAAATATGTCAAGGATACTTTTATTAAAAAAATACAACTTAATTTATATATAAAATAATATTATCTAAATTAAAATTAATTTTTATAATCAAAATTTAAGAAATTAGTACATAAAATAAAAATTCATCCATCAAAGTACATTTAAATCTAAAATATCTATTTAAGCTTAAAACTTTTATGTAATTTTTTATTCTTTAAGTTATTACACAATTACATTTCAATACTTTAGTATTTATAACAATTTTCATACAAAATGCGTGGTTGTAAAGACAAATTTTCAACATAATGCAATTCAATTTAAACAATTATATATATGCATAAATATGTATTTTTTCTATCTATATATAGAGAGAAGAGGAGTTGCTAATGCCACAACAACTTACTTAAACTATGGTGACAATTATAAAACTTCTGGTGACAATTATAAAACTTATGGTGACAATAACAAAAAGTGTGGTGAGATTAGCAACACCTATAGAGATATGTATATATATATATATATATATGAAAACACTCACTGTGAGTTTTTAAAAGTTTTATAGATTCTCAAGCTCCAGCAAAGCATTGTGCATGCAGAAAGAAACCAATTGATTGATATTGTTCTAGTACTATTTCCGAACGTGAGAAATGTATTGTTCTTCTTCTCTCCAGTCTTTTGTAATTTTCATGACATTTCTTTACTGAGTAGGCTCATCTCTAATTTTGAAAAGGACGGTAACTTGCCTTCTAATATCATTTGTTTCATAATATTATATTCTTTCAAAAGATTCTTCATTGTATGCCAGACTACAATGGCTTCTGGCAAATGAACGGTAAGGTCTTCTAGAGAATTTGATGTTTCTTTCATTTTTGTCATCCATCAAAACAATCTTTCGCACTTGAGAATATTCTTCATTCAAAAAACCAACATGCCGTAGTTTTCTATAGGTCTCTGGAAGTAGTAGGTTGACGGTTCTGGTGCTGCTGTCAGTTGCCCTTGTTAGGGTTTCATTCAAAGCTGTTCTGTAGCTCTTTGCTTTGTTCATCATGTTCGCGGCCACCCGCACTACTATTTAATCTTGTACTGTTCGCTTGTTTCAATAAATTACTTTATTCCCTCCAGTCTCAAAGCAATAAGATTCCTTCATGGTTTCAGAGCTCCAACTCTAGAAGACTGTGAGTATCACTTACAATAGATTGTAGTTCAATATCTAGTACATCCATGTTGTTTTATAACAAGATCTGATTTCGAGGTTACCATTAGCAGTAGCAAACTAAATAGAGTGAGCGCTCAGGAAGCCTTGAAAATCCAAACTTTTTTTGATATGGTAACATGAACGCAAGTTCAGCATCAGCCGCTGCTTCTCGCTCTCCACTCAATCCATCGAAAGGAAATAGTTCAAAATGAAGTTCTCGTCATCACCTTCTGGAGCATTCCCTGCCCCTTTTTTCTGTGACGCATATTCCAGACAAGCCCGTGCAATGCCACCCTCAGGCGTACCTCCTCGACATCACATGGTCAACCTCCGTTAACTGTTCGCACCACAACCTTCCCCCCTTCACTTGCACCTGGTGTGGCCCTTGGCTTTTGTGTTGCCCGTATTGCCATAACTGTAAGCAGGAGCCAACATATTATATATATATATATATATATATATGTAAGTCTATAGTTAAATAAACTATAGTTTTCTTCATTACCTATTATAATCTCTCAAAACATTCCATAAAAAGATATATGGAACCTAAATATAAATCTTAAAGAAAAGGAGAAACTAAAAGTGAATCCATGTCTATCTTTCCAACAAAATTCAAGCACTGTTTTGTTTCTATTGTCAATGTATTTTCTAATCTTTACACTTGCATATTTCTTCACAAAACTATTCTTCTTTAACAAACTTATTGGAAATTGTATATAAAATCAGAAAAACAAAGAATATATATATATATATATATATATCGATTTATTCAAAAAAATAAACCAAAAAAATCTTACTTACTTTCATGCCAAATGGGAAACACGTCTTGTAGAATTAAGCAAAACTGGGCCCAAAATCTTGTCTATATGCTGATTCAGCCAACAAACAACCTCATCGCATAGTGTCTGTGTACCAATCCCAGTCTAAATCTTCTTCTTGTGTGTAACTGAACCAATAGTGAATCTGCAGAATACCATACGAAATCGTCATGAGATGAGAATTAGGCATCCATCAATCAGGGCATGAGTATGAGAGGCTGTGGGTGTTGAGAGGATCTGATCTGATCTGGGGATTCGGGCTTGGGGTGAGGCTCCGAGGTCGATGCCGCAGACGCAGGAGAAGGCGTGACGGCAAAGCGACGCGGTGCAGACAAACAGGCTTGCGGCGCACGGAGCATGATCCCATCGTTGCAGAAGAAGACAGAGAAGCAGACGAAGCAGAAGAATCAGTGGCAGGATGATGAGCCGGTGCATCTCTTGACTCAGTCCTGCACTGAAAACGCGACTAGTCTCGCAGCGTTGGTCTCCCATCAACATTGGTGCAATATGGTATCCAGGAAGCAGTGTCGATCATTCGTATTAGAAAGATTCGGGCTCAACTGTTGTGATTATCCTCTGTATTATACGCCCCTCTGTTTAATCCTCATCATGTCTGCCACTACCTTGATCTCCATCTCAGTATTGGTATACGAAGCGTGCTGCAAAGACAACTTATTGATTTTTGCTTCACAGAAGGTGCAACCAAGTATAAAAATTCAACTCATTCAATCAACTACTAAATCAATTAGCCTCTATGAATATCATAAAGAATTATTCAACATCATTGTTGATACATTGCCATTGAGTTGGCAAATTTTTAGATTGGTGATCATGGGTCGAGATCAAATTATTATTTATCCAACTTAATAACTTTATCTTGGAAGAAGAATTAAGAAGAATTATGAAGAAGCAATTAGATTTTTATGAATGATGAATCACTCACAACACAAAGAATTTTTGATAATAGAAGATATTGATATAATTTGAACAATGGACAAAATTGTTGTGGTCAAAGTTGTAGATATATTACTAATGGTAAAATTCAACATAATACCAATTAACAAAGCATATATTATCTCTAAGACAACTTCAATCATTTTATCACAGATTGCTCAATCAAAAGCCTCAAAATATAGATAGAAGCATTGTTGTGATGTAACACAACTAATAAGTGAAAGAGGTGAAGAAATTATTATACTATACAAGATCTTACTTCAAATATTGTAAAAAATTATCTTAGAAAATAAACAATAGTCCAAAAGAAAGTAAAACTAAAGATATAAATGCTACCTTTTTTCCAAAGTAGGCTTCTATTTACTTTGTAAGGCCATAAATAAGGCAAAATAAGATAGATTAGAAAAACAAAAGATATAAGCATATGTAGAAAGAAGTTAAGAGTTGATTTTAGTAAAAATTAACTCAAAATAGAAAAATTTGACACCTGAAAAGGACTAGTTATCAACATGGATCAAAATCAATCCTTGAGGCACAAAACTAAGCAACTACAATAATTCCAAGATTTTTTTATAAATCAAAGAATAAGATTTGAGAGTTGACTTGATAAAATTTCTTTAGGCATTGATTTTGAGTGATTTGAGTGTATAATGACTTTGTAAGAGCTTTGCAAAGTTATAGTTGTTTTGGGTGATTTTAAAATTTGTGAAATAAAAAGGGTATTATGTTTTAGAGAATTTCGTGAGTTTGGTAGTACATCTATAGTTCAAATTTTTAGAATTTATATAAATAGTTATTTAAAGTGTATATTATAAGTTTGAGCTTGATTGAATGGTTGAATTGAAGGTAAATGAATTTCAAGTAGGTTGACATCTCAAAAATTGAATTTTGAGAGGTAGTTAGGATTTTTAAGTTCTTTAGCAATCTATTAGTTGGATTGGAGTGAAATTTATATATAAAGGTAATAGACTTGATTTGCTATAAATGTGTAAAATTTAAAAATAATTAAATAGTTTGATTGGCATAAGATATTGACATTGAAAGTTCATAATTCAAATTGGAGTAGGAGGCCGACTAATACTAAAGCAGATTTTATGGTTTTCTTTTTATTTGGTAAGTGCAATTATCTTCAAATTTTGTGTGCTTGTTGTTAATTTAGTTGCTCAGAAGTGTATATAATTTTAAGTAATATCATTGATTTAATTGATTGATATTGAGGTTCTAAATTGTCCTAGGATTAGGTTGAATTGATTAGGTTTTGATTACGGTTTGGTTTAGGATTAGGATTGGATTAGGATTTAGGATTTTGTTAAGGTTTTATTAGGATTTAAGATTGGATTAGGATTTAGGATTTGGTTTAGGATTTTCTTAGGATTTAGGATTTAGGGTTTGCTTAAGATTTAGGATTTGCTTAAAATTTAGGATTTAGGATTTGTTTAGGATTTATAACTTGGCCTAGAGTTTGATTGAAGACCATTAGGATTTTAATTAGGATTAAATTAGGACTTGATTGAGATTTATTTAAGATATATTTGTGATTATTTTAATATTTCTTTAGAATTTTTTAGAGATTCTTTTAAGATTTATTATGGATTTCTTTTAAATTCCTTTAAGATTTCTTATTTTTTCTTTTGTTATTTCTTTAAGGTTTCTTTTGAGTTTAATTAAAGCTTATTTGGTATTATTAAGATTTAATTAGAATTTATTTAATATTCTATTAGAGTTAAGATTTCGTTGTTGCAATTTCCAATCTACCTTCTACAAGTAGGTGCACGGTGCATTCTTGAGAAAGACTTCACATAATATGATAGTGCTCAATAAAAAAATTAATATATTAAAGATGTATCAATAAAATATTAATCTAATAAAATATTCAATAAGAAATATGAATTTGCTTTTGAAGAAATGATGTTGTATTATGTAAAACTTGACTTCATAATACTCTTCATATTTGATTGTAGAAGGATTTGAACTTACTTTGAAGATGGATTTTTAAATCAAAATAATACATAAGATATTTAGAAACACACTTTTGTAATCTTAAACAACTTAAATAAACTTCCAATTATCCTAAGTATATTTTATCAACTTAAAAAAATCTTAGATATATTTTATTAAACTATAATTAATTCAAAATAAACCATAAATAATCTTTAATATATTTTAATTAAATATTAATTAAATCCAATTTAAATCTTAAATTTTAAAATTTAAAATTTATATCCTAAATCCTAACCAAATTCTAAACAAATCTTAATCAAATCTTAATAAATTCTCAATCAAATCTTAAATCCTAATTCCTAATCAAACCTTATAATAGATTAAAATCTTTATAACTAATAATCTAACTATTGATTTAGACTCAAATTTTCATATCTTTCAATATCTTAATTGACATTAAATACTACAAATTTAGAAAAAATCAAACTTATCAAATAAGAGATAAATCTCATAATTTCTTTGGTTGTCAATTGATGTAACAAGGTACTAATAAGTTATTTGTACTATTGGCACATAGGGATAGATAGTTAAAATTATGTTTAAGAAGTTATGAGAGTTTTTAGAATTAGAGTGTTATGGACATATATATTTATCTTGATAGTTATCTAGATAATAAAAATAGGTAGAAGTAAGTCAAAGTAGATAAATATGATAATATCTTGTGGAAAGCTTCCTAGAAGCTTCATAAATGTTGCTTTGCCTTTATACATCTCTATAGGTGATTGGTAGATTGAAAACTTACCCAACAAGGAGGCCACATGTCGACATGTGGATCACTTATAGTAAAAGTTGAATATATGGTGCACACCTAGGAAACTTGCCTTACAAATTAAACATATATCGTCCAAGTTACATACATATTAGAGGTCCTATAATATGTCACCACATATTTCTTAGTTAAGTAGTATATATAGAGGCAAGAGTGAGGCCTTCTTCACTCTTATCAACTCTTTTCTTGCTTTTAGTCTAGTTTTAAGAGTCTTATGTTTTTTAGTCTTTGGCAATAGCCATTCCACTTCTTCTTTGAATATACATACTTTCTTCTATTTTGTCACTTTTCTTTTGATACAGATTCCATGAGTTTGTGTATCTTTTTCCTGTTTGTATCCTTAATAAATTGATAAGAGTGCACATACAATATCAGAGCTTTGTCCTTTCTTGATTAAGAGTGGATTATCACTTTTTCTTGATAAGGCATAAGTATATTAGAAGTTACCAATTATCCTCTTCTAAATTGATAATTATTTATCATTTTTTTTTTTTTTTTTTTTTTTTTTTTTTTTTTAAATTCTTAAGTATTGTATTTTGTGTAAAAAGACACTTTTCTTTTTATTGTGCTAGCATTGCAGAGCTTGCTGAAATGAAGAGTGCAATGGCTCAAATGTAAGAGCAAATGAAAGAGTTAATGCTTGCAATGCATCAACTCAGTCTACCACCATAAAGAGTAATAAGATTATTAGGCAATGAAGATATAGAGATGATTGGAGTTGCTTCAACATCTACACCAAGCCATACTATTGCTCCTACAATGAAACATCATTCAAGTTTCAAAGAACCAAAAATTAGATTACCTAAGAAGTTTGATGGGACAAGTTCTAAGTTTTGAAGATTCATCAATCAGGTACAATTAGTGATTGAACTAAAACCTCAAAGTTATCCAATTCAAGGATCCTAAGTCAAGTTTATTGAAATATTACTTTTAGATTCTACTTTATCATGGTTTTCATCATTCTTTGAATGATATGATCCAATATTGGATAATTTGAAAGCATTCTTAGTGGAGTTTTGATCTATGTATGGAGAACATAATACAATATGTATTGCAACCAACAAGATTTGTATCTTACAACAAAGTAATTGATCAGTGATATTATACGTTCTACAATTTTAAAAATTAGCGACAGATATCAAGTGGGATGATACAACACTCATCAACTTATTTTTCTACGGATTATAATGTGAAGTAAAGAAATTGATGCTTAATTTATCTGATCCTCAAATATTGGATTAAGCAATTGGCTTTGTTGTGAAATGTAACAATCGGCTTTTTGAGTTTCAATCTGAAAATTGCATAAGTGAACTTCAACGTCATTACAATTCAATGATAATAATAACAACTTCTCAATCTAAACATTTGAAAGTAGAATACATGCAAATTGATGCAGTACGTTTTAAATCTCTTATCGAATAAAAAAAGACTCATTGTCATAAAAAAAGATTACATTTATATTATAGAAAAAAAAATTTCTTGTTGTGTTCAAGCTTCAATATACCAAAGCAATTGAACTAATAGAGGTAGGTTCGAACATGGAGAAAGACTAGTTATATGAATTAGGTCTGTTAGTGTTACAATTGACTGTACTTTGGCTATCTGAAATCAATTATCAAACTACAAAATACCAAGGCTTACTACTTCCGTCTTAATTCAATACATAATCTATTCTACAACAATCAATTCAATAATACTTCCATATTCTTATCTGTTCATCTCTCACTTACTATCTTTGCGGTTTATATATATTCAATTACTGATCTCTAGCTTATTTATTATATTCAGTTTCTCAATTCATCACACAAAATTCAA